ACAGGGATGCCCTCTTTCACTACTCCTATTCAACACAGTATTGGAAGTTCTGGCCAGGACAACCAGGCAAGTGAAAGAAATAAAGGGTATTCAAATAGCAAGAGAGGAAGTCAAATTGCCTCTGTTTGCAGCTGACATGATTGTATATTTAGAAAACCCCATTGTCTCAACCCGAAATCTCCTTAAGGTGATAAGCAACTTCAGCAAAGTCTCAAGATACAAAATCAATGTGCAAAAATCACAGACATTCCTATACACTAATAATAGACAAACAGCCAAATCATGAGTGAACTCACATTCACAATTGCTACAAAGAGAATAAAATACCTAGGAATACAACTTATAAGGGATGTGAAGGACCTCTTCCAGGAGAGCTACAAACCACTGCTCAAGGAAATAAGAGAGGACACAAACAAATGGAAAAACATTCCATTCTTATGGATAGGAAGAATCAATATCTTGAAAATGGTCATATTAGTTAAAGTAATTTATAGATTCAGTGTTAACCCTATCAAACTACCACTGAGTTTCTTCACAGAATTAGAAAAAATACTTTAAATTACATATGGAACCAAAAAAAAAGAGCCCATATATCCAAGAAAATCCTAAGCAAAAAGAACAAAGCTTGGAGGCATCATGCTACCTGACTTCAAACTATACTACAAGGTTACAGTAACTAAAACAGCATAGTACCAGTACCAAAACAGAGAGATAGACCAATGGAACAGAACAGAGGCCTCAGAAATAATGCCACACATTTACAACCACTGGATCTTTGACAAACTGGACAAAAGCAAGCAATGGGAAAAGGATTCCCTATTTAATAAATAATGCTGGGAAAACTGGCTAGCCATATGCTGAAAACTGAAATTGGACCCCTTCCTTACATCTTATACAAAAATTAACTCAAAATGGATTAAAGACTTATATCTAAGACCTAAAACCATAAAACTCTAGAAGAAAACCTAGGCAATACCATTCAGGACATAGGCATGGGAAAGACTTCATGACTAAAACACCAAAAGCAATGGCAACAAAAACAAAAATTGACAAATGGGATCTAATTGAACTAAAGAGCTTCTGCACAGCAAAAGAAACTATCATCAGAGTCAACAGGCACCCTACAGAATGGGAGAAAATTTTTGCAATCTATTCATCTGACAAAGGACTAATACTGAGAATCTACAAATAACTTAAACAAATTTACAAGACAAAAACAACCCCATCAAAAAGTGGCCAAATGATATGAACAGACATTTCTCAAAATAAGACATTAATGCAGCCAACAAATATAGGAAAAAATGCTCATCATCATTGGTCATTAGAGCAATGCAAATCAGAACCACAATGAGATACCATCTCATGTCAGTTAGAATGGCGATCATCAAATAGTCAGGAAAAAACAAATGCTTGAGAGCATGTGGAGAAATAGGAACACTTTTAGACTGTTGGTTGGAGTGTAAGTTAGTTTAACCAGTGTGGCGCTTCCTCAAGGATCTAGAACTAAAAATACCATTTGACTCAGCAATCCCATTACTGGGTATATACCCAAAGATTATAAATCATTCTACTATAAAGATACATGCACATGTATGTTTATTGCAGCACTATTCACAATAGCAAAGACTTGGAACCAACCCAAATTGCCCATCAATGATAGACTACATAAAGAAAATGTGGGACATATGTACCATGGAATACTATGCAGCCATAAAAAAGGATGAGTTCATGTCCTTTGCAGGGACATGGATGAGGCTGGAAACCATCATTTGCAGCAAACTGACACAGAAACAGAAAACCAAACACCTCATGTTCTCACTCATAAGTGGGAGTTGAACAGTGAGAACACATGGGAACATCACACACCAGGGCCTGTCATGGGGTGAGGGGTTAGGGGAGGGATAGCATTAGAAGAAACACCTAATGTAGACGACAGTTTGATGGGTGCAGCAAACCACCATAGCACATGCATACCTATGTAAGAAACCTGCACATTCTACACATGTATCCCAGAACTTAAAGTATAATAAAAAAAGAAAACTCTAGAAAAGAAGGAAAACCTATTGTATTTACCATATTTTTGCTTGCCATGCTATATCTTCCTTCTTAATGTTCCAAATTCTTTCTTTTATCCTTTTCTTTTCTTTAGACAACTTCTTTTAGCTATTCTTTAAGGGTAGGTCTGCTAGTGACAAATTATTTTCATTTTCCCTCATCCGAAAATGTGATTTTCCCTCCATTCCTAAAGGATAATTTCACTGCATATAGAATTTACAGTTGACAATTATTTTCTTTCAGTACTTAAAAAATAATATGCTAGTTCCTTCTGGGCTTCATGATTTGTAATGAGAAATCTGTTGTCATTTGAATTGTTATTCCCAATAATTAATGTTTTTCTTGCTGCTTTGAAAATTTTTAGTCTGTGTTTAGTTTAAAGAAGTTTGACTCTGATTTGCCTGGTAATGGATTTCTTTGGGTTTATCCTGTTTGGGATATGCTCAGCTTCTTGAATATGTATGTTACCAGGTTTTACTAATTTGGAAAACTTCTCAGTCATAATTTTTTAAACATTTTTTCAGCTCCATCCTCTTTCTCCTTTCCTTCCAGAACTCTGAACATGAAAACTAGATATGTGGTATACACCCACAGGCCCTTAGGCTCTGTTTAATTTTTTCTAATCTATTTGTTTCTGATATTCAGATTATATACTTTATTTTATTCTATCTTTAAGTTCACTAATTCTTTCCTGTGTTCTCTCTATTCTACTTTTTAGCCTACCTCTTGAGAGTTTTGTTGTTTTGGTTTGGTTTTTGTTTCTTTGTCTTGTTATTGTCCTTTTCAGTTCTAAAATTTCCATTTAGGTATTCTTTATGTCTTCTATTTATTTGCTGAGACTTATTTTGTTGTTGAGACAATGTATTTTTACAGTCTCTTTGCAACTTCTTGTTGAAGTATTTATGATGATTGTTTTACACACTTTATCAGATAATTCTAACATTTCTATTATCTTGATGTTGTCATCAATTAAGTGTTTTTTCTTATTGAGTTATTTGTTGTTCTTGGAATTATGAGTGATTTTCAATTGACCCTGAACATGCCTGATCTTGTTTGATCTCAGAAGCTAAGCAGGATTGAGCCTGGCTAGTACTTGGATAGGAGACCTGGCCATTTTTATGTTGTGGTTCTCTGAGTCTTATTCAAATATTCAAATATCAGTGAAAGTGTGTGCACTACCTATTGTTGCCAGCTGGTGGTGGAAGTGGAGGTTCCCTCACTCAGCTTCTCTTGATGCAATAGGGTGAAAGTCCAAGCTCCCTTCACAGTCTCAACTGACATCACAGTGCATGGAATTTCATTTTTGGCCAGTAGGAATGAAAGCACCATCTCTTCACTCTGCCTTTTCTGACACAATCCCAGTGAATGGTGTTGTGTACCTCCCTAGAGCCTGACAAGAGGGCAGTCTAAGCTCTCTTCTTTGCCGTCGATTGTCTGTGTGGAAGTAGAGTTGCAGTTTCTTCCGTGGTGTTTGGCTAAGATAGAGTGGTTACTATCTAAAAGTTTTCTGTCCTGCTATGCTGACCTTTTCATGGTCCTTTGGCTAGAGAGAGAATTCTCTTTTCAGGACTTTTGTTGTCCACTGATGTAACTAGATTACCAGCTTCCCCAACACTGATCTAATATATGAAGCAAAAAGAAAATCCAGGAACTCACTGCTGTGTCATTTCTCAGGTCCCAAGATTCCTAACCAATCATTTCTCTTGTCACCAATTTGAGTCTTTTTATATTTATTTTATATATAATGTCCAAGGTTTTTAGTTGTACTTAACAGGAAGGCTAGGGAAAAGTATTTTTTTTTCTTTCTTTTTTTTTATGAAGCAACAAAAGCAGAGATTTATCGAAAACGAAAGCACACTCCACAGGGTGGGAGTGGGCTGAGCAATTGGCTCAAGAGCGCAGTTACAGAATTTTATGTGATTTAAATGCCCTCTAGAGGTTTCCCACTGGTAACTTGGTGTACACTCTATGTAAATGAAGTACTGGCCCGTTATCAGTCGGATTGGTTGCAGAAAGTGACCAATCAGAGGCTAAAGTTACAAAGTTATGCCTTAAACAATGTCTGATTGGTTGTGGAAAGTATTTCTACGCCATCTTCCCAGAAGCTGAAGTTGTCTGTTATTTAAACAATTTTTCTTTAATGAAATAAGAATAATCTAGTAAAAGAGTGTCCTCTCTCTTTAAAATTTGAGATAAGCCAGGTGCAGTGGCTCACACCTGTAATCCCAGCACTTTAGGAGGCCAAGGCTGGTGGATCACTTGAGGTCAGTAGTTTGAGACCAGCCTGGCCAACACAGTGAAACCCGTTCTCTACTCAAAATACAAAAATTCACCGAGTGTTTTGGTGTGTACCTGTAGTCCCAGCTACTTGGGAAGCTGAGGTGGAAGAATTACTTGAACTCAAGGGGCAGAGATTGCAGTCGACTGAGATCATGCCACTACACTCCAGCCTAGGCGACAGAGTGAGACTCTGGTTAAAAAAAAAAAAAAAAAAAAATTGAGATAGCTCTATGCTTTAAAGTTAAACTTAATTATAATTATATTCTTCTCACCTCAGGCAAAATTCAAGCAGTTGGCAATACACTTAGGGAGATTCATTTTATTATTTGATGATTGACTGTCTCATCTCTTCTAATCTTTTAAATAAAGAATAATGTAAAAATTAAATTTTGTTGCTAGGATTCTACTTTGTGACAAAGATGATACTTTATCATGGAAAAAATAATAAATATTTGTTATAAATACATTGCTATCTTCAGGAATATTATTTGGATTACTTACACACACTATTGACAAAATGCCTTGTATCACTATTCTAATTTGCCATATCAAAGTAAAATTATTAATAAGTTTGCTAGTAGGAACAAAAAAAAAGAAAACTTTCACTTATATTGCCTATTTTCAAATGTTAATAAAACTAAACCATGAATCCTTTCTTCCTGCAGATGAGGGGTATGTCTGATAAGTCACTCCGACTAGTGCTGTCCACATTTAGCAACATACGGGAGGAGCTTGGACATCTTCAAAATGACTTGACAGTAAGATTTATTTTGATTTTTTCCAAAGCCTTTCTAGTTCCTAGCTTCCTAATACAGAAATAAAGATGTCCAGTATACATTTTTAAAATTTAATATAGCACAATATTATGCTTACTCCGACAAAGCTAAATTATTTTCTTCAAACAGTTAATTGGCATTGAGAGAGGAGAAAAGAGGTATCCAAAATGTAAATGAAAGAATGCTGGATATGCACTTATCATTTAGTTTACCACTAAGGCAATTTAATGCTTAAAGCCAGAGAGTCGTCTTCAGAATTAAAATAATCTGACTCATTGAAGGTAAATCCCCCGTTTTTCATAATTATAAAGCATACTCCGAATTTCCATTCAAATATAACTTGAAAACATTTTTCTCTAAAAAATTAATTTTTCCTATTTTCTATTTTAGTGGTGTTCTTGGTGCCATCCGCTAGATACATTCAGAATGCTTTCCACACATTGAATAATGCCTTGAGGACTTTGGAGTAGTTTTGTTGTTTCTAGGTTATGATGAACATATTTAGACTCTAATTTAAAAATTTACCACTTGCTGGGATTAACAAGAACTTTTTGTAGATTGAAGGAAAACATTAAAATATTTCAGAAGGCTTTGCTTCATTTCATGTACAGTTAGTCCATCAAAATGTCTCTTTCAGTGAAGGTTTTGGAAGTTTCAATCACTTCCTATCCCATATTTTCTTAACTTTTAAGAATTCTGCTTTATTAAGCAAGTACAAATGCAACAAGTACTTATTTAAATCTTCCAAGGTAAACAAGTCTTTGTATTATGTGACTGTTAAGTTTCTGTAATTCTGAATCATAAATAATTTATGCTTCTAGTCACTGGAAAATGACAAGATGAGACTTGAGAAAGATTTATCATTCAAAGAAACTCAAATAAAAGAGTATGAAGAACTCTTGGCATCAGTGAGAGCAAATAATCACCAGCAGAAGGTAAATTGATGTTTTTGTTGATGTTAATCTAGATTGATAGCTTTTCATATGCACAATTACTGGCACACTGGAGTTGTGAGATATAATCAAGACAGAATGAAAATATGATGGAAAAATTTGTTCATATGAGAATTGAGTGGCTTCAGGTATTTCCAATGGCTGAAAGCCCTCTCAGAAAAACAGATAATCTTATCTATTTGAGATATAAAGCACATATGGGACACAATTATTTGTCTTGTTGGGTGACCAGAATTGTATAAATACTAAAAATTTAGGTTCATGCATTTATTTAATCTACTAACATGTCAATGAAAACAAGCTGTTGTAGACCTTAACACATGTTTGTGCAATAAATAAATGACTGAAAAAACCCTAGATGAGTTCTCTGGATGTCTGAGCAGAGAGAATTCCTAGGAAATTGTAAGTAGTCTCTAAGGATTACCCTCTTCCTGACCTTTACTCCTATGGCTGTCCCAAATTCTTGCTCAGTTACTAGTTGTCACATAAATAATCAGGCATATAGTTGTTTTTGTGCCTACTAGAAAGCAGGGTAGTATTGTCACAGAGTAGCAAGAGTCTGATTGTTAAATTGAGACATTATAAATTCATCTACTCATGATTCCCTGTCACACAAAATAGGCAAGTGAGACTAGAGGCACCACTATAATATCTTACATGGCTGACTTACAAGTACCATCTAAGACCAAGAGTATAAGAAAACTGGGCATAGGAAAATATTTACTTGATTCAATTGAATGAATCAATAAAAAGAACACTCCCTCACCAAAAACAAAATGCATCTATCTTATGTACTTGTGTCTTCTTTACAGCAAGGACTTCAAGACTCAAGTTCAAAATGCCAGGCACTGGAAGAAAACAATCTCTCTCTTCGACATACACTATCAGACATGGAATACAGACTAAAAGAACTGGAATATTGTAAACGTAATTTAGAGCAAGAGAATCAAAACCTTAGAATGCAGGTATTAAAACTTCCTTTTAAATATACAGTATTACCTTAGTTACATCATTGTAATCCTAGCACTGGCAATATATATATATATATATAAAATATATATATAAATATATATATAAATATATATATATATTAATCTTGAGAAAATATATGGACTGTTTTCCTTCACATACTGTTAGATCTTAATGCCTGACATTTGAACTTTATAATGCAGTTCCGGAAAATCACTTTCATTATTTCAATGTCTTACTTAATCATGTGGTTTTCATATAATAATAATCCTTGTAACGTAACACATATTTTCTTCAAAACAATCCAATTACAGATAGTTATTTTGCCTTCTGTAGGTTTCTGAGACTTGCACAGGCCCAATGCTGCAGGCTAAAATGGATGAGATTGGCAACCATTACACGGAGATGGTAAAAAACTTGAGAATGGAGAAAGACAGAGAGATCTGCAGGCTGAGGGTATGTTGATCCTACACTGCATAAATACACAGGTCAGCACAAACTTTCTAGCAAGATAATGATGGATTCAAGTTTAAAGCTACAAGAAAAAAATAGCTGAAGGTAGAGTTTTAGAAATATGTCATGTATCCTTTTGTTTTAAATACACATTACTGTGTCTAAAATATAACTCTTAAATTATTTTCTAATTTAGTTTAATCTCCTCTAGGAAAGTGAAATAAGACATTCATTTCAGTGCTTTGGTTTTTATTAATTTATTGTTTGGGATAAGTGGATAACTCTTTATGATCTTGCCTAAAGCATGCTTGTGTAGACAAAAGCAATATTTGAGATTACTCAACAGAGCCACAGATTTGTAAAAATTCTCACTTAATTTCGAGGGATGGTAAATAGCAAGGACTTTGTCAAGCATGAGGAGGAAAACAGCGTTAAGTTTTATGTACCTATAGTTGACATCAAAATTAAGGTGATATTTGTAAGTATATATTACCTTATCTTGTAATTCTAGGTTGAATTTACTTAATGTAACCCTTATTTTACTGATTCCTAAATGTAGTAAAATATAGTTAAATGTTTTCATAAACAAAATAATCACAAATTTGTCTCTCCAAACATCACTGTGTAATTTTTACCAAAAATCAAAATGAAACAAAATATAATTTGTTATAAAAACCTACCAATACTTCTAGCAGATTTCCTCCACTGATTTCTTTTCCATCCCAACATTACTAATAGCACTTCTACCTAAGCTATACACATATGAGGTAAAGAGGAAAATGGACAATATTTGTAGTCAGAAGATCTGTCTTGGAGTTGCAGCTATGTTACTGCCTGACTGTGTCATTTAACCTCTCTGGTTTTGTAAATGAAGATTATAATAATGCTTATTTCACAGGACTGCTGTGAGAACTGAGATAATTCATGGAGGAGGAATATTTTGTGAACTGAAAATCGGAATATAATAGTAGTTATTGGTATTGCAATTTCCTGAATTATCATTTCAAGGACTCTAAAATGCCTGTTTTCTTAGTTTTACTTTAAATCTTGTGGCCTAAGACTGTTACATAATGTTTAGTCCTACATAGCAAAGACACCTTAAAAAAAGGAGAAATTTGTAATTGGCATTTCATTTCATATTACATACTCATGAAATTCTGTGAAAGTTTATGACTATTGGTGTTTTACTTTCATTTCATAACTAACTGTGCGAGTTTGTGTCACTTAACCTCCCTGGAACTCAGTTACATATTTTCTATATAAATATTATACTAATACTTATTTCTTTTTAAATCCTTAGTCCCAATTAACCCAGTACCATAAAGATGTTTCAAAGAGGGATGGAAGTTGTAGTGACTTCCAATTTAAGCTTCATGAACTGACAAGCTTGCTGGAAGAGAAGGATTCCCTTATAAAGCGTCAGTCAGAGGTATAAAAGGAAGGGGTGGGGATGGAGAAAAGTAATACAACTTAGTACTGTAGTACTGTAGGATAAATACTTCCCGTGGACTAGAAAAGGACACATATCCAGGAGCCACTTTATTTCATGAAATAAAATGTAGGTGCAAGTGAGGAAGTAGAATATACATATTTCAGGAGAAATAATTCAAATGAAAGTTAGAATTGAAGCAAAAAATAAATGCTGTTGTACATTTAATATTTTTAAGACATTGATTTTATATTTCATTAGCAGTGAAATTCCCAGTAGACTGTGACCTCCTTACTACATTATGAGCTGCTTCATTAAAGCATGTGTTATATTCCTCCTTGTATCTGTAGCATGTAGTCCACGACCTGGCATTCAATAGGTACTGAAGGAATTATCAAAAATTATAGGTAATATTGTATTGCTGTTATGGAACAAATGGTGCTGGTAGTAACATTCATTGATAATATCTTGTTAGAAACTATATCTGCTTATATATTAAAGTTTCAGTACTTTTCTTCTATGGATATACTTTTCAGGCTTTTCAGAGCAACAACTTTCACATCCTCATCTTGAGAACCACGCCCATTCAATCTCAAGTTATCTTCCAAATTTAGATATCCTGTATCAGTTGCAGGTTCCTGCACAGGCATATAATATAACTTATTAGGTACTGTGAAGCAACACTAGGTGATATTCAACAAGTGGGATTAGAACATTATTACCTCAAGGCTAAAAAGGAGTAAAAGGGAGGGAGTATAATCATTGTTAGTAACCCTTCTAAATGACTAAATGTATTTATTATCTCATGTTTCTTCTTTCCGTCAAATGATTATATTATCTTTTATCTGTAAGGAACTCTCAAAGTTGCGGCAAGAAATATATTCCTCTCATAACCAACCCTCCACTGGTGGAAGGACTACTATAACCACTAAAAAGTAATGTATTTTGAAATGAAATTTGAATATAAAAATTATGATCATATAATTCATGTTATTTCATGTTTAATTGATACATACATGCTAGACAGAGTTTGGTGTTTTCTGCTGGCCAATTAGTCTACTGAAGAATGAATATTCACAAAAAGACATCACTATTTCAGTCAAAAAAAATCCTGAAGCACATCTTTCCTGAATTTACAATATATTAATTACCCTGGAAGTGAAAAACAAATAATTGTTTTTTTAACCAACCGCATTAGTTAGGACTCTTTCTGTTTCATGTAACAAAAGACCCAACATAAACTGGGACTTTTTAAAGTAACTTAACTGGGATTACTTGATATCCAGACCGATTTGTGTGTTCAAAATATGCCCTTATACATCTTTCTTTTCTTCCTTTTCTTTTCTTCTTTTTTCTTCTCTTTTCTTCTTTTTTTTTTTTTTTTTTTTTTTTTTTTTTTTTTTTGAGACGAGTCTTGCTCTGTCGCCCAGGCTGGAGGCTGGAGTGCAGTGATGCGAACTCTGCTCACTGCAAGCTCCGCCTCCCGGGTTCACGCCGTTTTCCTGCCTCAGCCAGTAGCTGGGACTAAAGGCGCCCGCCATCACGACGGGCTAATTTTTTTTTTTTTTTGTATTTTTTAGTAGAAACGGGGTTTCACCGTGTTAGCCAGGATGGTCTCCATCTCCTGACCTCAAATGATCTGCCCGCCTCGACCTTCCAAAGTGCTGGAATTACAGGCGTGAGCCACCGCGCTCGGCCTAAATCTGTCTTTCTTTATATCTTGGCTCTTCTCTTTCCTTTGTAGATATCTTCCTCAGGTAAGGTCTACCCTCATGGTAGCAATATGACCACAAATTACATTCCAGCCTTTTAGCAAAACCAAATATAAAGTAATTATGAATACCTTCAGCAGAAGTCTATTTTGGATATTTCATATAAATGAAATAATACAATATGTAGTCTTTTGTGTCTGGATTTTTCATTTTGCATAATCTTTGCAAAATGCAACCATGATTTAGCATGAGTCAAGATTTCATTCCTTTTTTTTTGCTAAATAATATCCAATTGTATGGATATACATTTTATTTATTGATTAATCAGTTGGACATTTGGGTTGTTTTCAATTTTTGGCTATTGTGAATAATGCTGCTAACATCTGTGTACAAGTGTGTAAGGTACATGTATTCATTTCTTTTGAGTATACACGTAGGAGTGGAATTGATACGTCACATGGTAACTCTAGGCTTAAGGAATTGCCATACTGTTTTCCAAAGAAAAAGCACCATCATACATTTCTAGTAGTGTATGAGGGTTCCACTTTCTCCCCGTCCTCACTGCCATTTGTTATTGTTCATCTCTTGGATTATGGCCATCCTAGGTGGTGGAAAGTAGTATCCAATTGGAGTTTTGATTTGTATTTCCCTAATAACTAATATTGTTTAGCAGTTTTTATGTGCGTATTGGCCATTTATACATCTTATTTGAAGAAATGTCCATTCAAATTTTTTTCCCATCTAAGTGGGTTGTCTTTTTATAGTTGAATTGCAAGAGATTTTCACATGTTCTCATACAAGTCCCTTATCAGGGACAAGATTTGCAAATGTTTTCATCAATTCCATGGGTTGTCTTTTCATTATCTTGAGAGTATAATATGCAGCATAAGTATTTAATATAGAAAAAAATCTAATTCATCTATATTTTTTCTTGCTTGTATTATATTTAAAAAACTATTGGTATTATATAAAAGAAACTATTGACAAACCTAAGGTCATAAAGTTTTATACTCATATGTATTTTGTCTTGTATTAATACAAACTCTCTTCTGGTTACTAATTGTATGAAATATCTTTTTCTGTCCTTTCCTTTTTTATGTATTTGTGTATTTGAATCTAAATTGTGACTCTTGTAAACCACACATAGTTGTATCTTTTTATACATTCTGCCAATCTCTGCTTTTAGTTGGAATATTTCATGCACTTACATTTAATGTAATTTATAAGTTAGGATTTACATTAGCTATTTTGCTATTTGTTTCTATGTCTTACATGTTTTTTGTTCTTCTGTTCCTCCATTCCTGTCTTCTTCTGTGTAAAATATTTTCTACAGTAACATTTTATTACTTTTAGTTACTTTTACTGCATTTTCTGAGTTTTTCCCCTTAGGTTTACTCCAGACATTTAATTAATATTTACCTGTATAGTTACCTTTACTGGTGATCTTTATTTCTTCATGGGGATTTGGGATGCTGTATAGAGTCCTTAAATTCCAGCCTGAAGGACTCCTTTAGTATTTCTTGTAGGACTTCCTTAGGTATTTCTTGTAGAACAGGTTTTGTAGTGACAAATTCTTTGGGTTTTTGCTTGTATGGGAAAATATTGCTTTTCCTTCATTTTTGAAGAATAGTTTTGCTGGATAAAATAATTCTCAGGTGACAGTGTTTTTTGTTGTTGTTACTTTGAATATGTCATCCCATTGCCTTCTGGCCTCTATAATTTCTGATGAGAAATCAGTTGATAATTTTTAATTGAGGATCCCTCTGACATGTTTCTTTTTTGCAGCTTTCAAGATTATTTTTTTCTATGGCCCTTGACAGTTTGATTATTATGTGTCAAGGTTTGGATCTCTTTTTTTTTTTTTTTTTCTTTTCCACTATTTGGCATTTGTTGAGCTTCTTTGATGTGCAGGTTGATATTTTTAATCAAATTTGGGAAGTTTTCAGACATTTCTTCAGCTATTATTCCTGCCACTTTCCTCCCTTTCCTTGTGGAGAGGGAGGAAACTCACAGTTATCTGAGGCCCTGTTTATTTTTCTTCATTCTTTTTTCTTTCTGTTCCTCAGACTAGATAAACTCAATGAACCTTCTTCACAATTTGTTGATTCTTTCTTCCATTTGTTCACATCAGCTGCTGAGAAATTTTTAAATCTAGTTATCTTTTTTACCTCAGAATTACGGTAGTTTCTCTTAAAATTAATTTTCTATAATGTTCTTTATTCCGTAAGGCACAACTCTAATCCCTTCCTTTAGTTCTTTAGGCATGGTTTCTTTAGTTCTTTGAACATACTTAAAATAGCCAATTTAAAGACTATGTAAATGCAACATCTGGCTTCTTAATGGACTGTTTCAAGTTATTTTTTCCATGATAGGCAATATTTTCTTGTTTCTTTGTATGTCTTATAATTTTTTACTGAAAATTTATTTATTTTCAACAAATAAAATATTATTTGTTGAAAATAATATAATGTGGTAACTCTGGAAATTAGACACTCCCTCCTGCCAAGGTGTTCGTTGATGATATTGTTTACTATTGATGTTATTGTCTTTTGCTTAGTGGCTTTTCTGATTTAATTCTGTAAAGTCTGTATTCTTTTCGTATGTGGTCACTGAAGTCTCTGCTCATTTATCTTAGTGGTCAGTTAACATTTAAACAGAGGTTTCGTTACAAACATGAAACTAGTAAGTCTCCTAGTTTTCACTGAAAGTCTCTTTGTCTGTGTTTGGACACCTCTTCAATGTTCTGGTAGGCAATTTATAGCTCGTCTTTAGCCCCCATTTCCTGCTTACACAGAGTTTTGAAATTAGCCAGTAGTGAGGGCTCAGGGTTTTCTCAGGCCTTTCCTTCACATGCGTACAGCCTTGGGCATGTACAAAGCCCTACACATGCTTGTGGCTTTCTAGATTCCCGGGAACATATAACAACTTTTCAAAGCCCACTATGGACAATTTATTCCTCAGTTTTTCCTTTTATCATTTTTGGTCAATTTCTTGTCTGCCTGAACTATTATAGCCACCTCAGGTAGTTGTGATATTCAACAATTTTCGCACATTATTTTTGACAAATGTTCCCAGGAAAAAGAATTTTCAAATTGGTTGAGCTACAAGTCAAGTTTTAAAAGACATCCTTGCAAGTGGAGTTTTCCACAGAATCAACAGACAAATCAAACAATGACAATTATAATAATGACAATGTGGCTTTGAAGGAGCTCTAACCTTGTTTTGTCTTGTAGTGGCTGCCAGGCTTCTGGGTTTTACCAAGATTGTTTTAAAATTCTATTGCATAGTTGGAGAGACAGAGATGAGAATAGGACAATTTCAAATGTCACAAAGCTTGTTTATTTAACCAAGATTTAACTGTTTTTCCTAAATAAATGCTCTCTGGAGACTGTAAAACTTTATTAATTTTGAGAGTTCTGATAAAGTTAGTTTTGATTTTCATTGGCCAGATTTCCTTTTTCTTTTATGGCATAGAGCATTTCTGGAGGTTGTTATACATTTTCACTGACATCGTCTTCCATTACTTCCTTAAGCACGGTTTTTTTCAGTTCTTTGTATTCTCACTATGTTGCCCAGGCTGGCCTCAAATTCCCGGTCTCAAGCAATCATCCTATGATGGCCTCGCAAAGTGTTGGGGTTACAGGCATGAGCCACTAAGCCCAGCCCTAAAAACATATTTATTATAGCTTCTTTGAAGTCTTTGTCTTCTAACTACACCATCTGGTCCTCTTTAAAAGTAGTTTCTGGAGGGAGGAACAAGATGGCCAAGTATACACATCCAGGAAGCACTTCTCTCACCACAAGAGACCAAAATATCCAATAAACAAACCAGTAAATTCTCCACTATCTGTTTGTACTTTAAAAAGATCTTTGGAGAGAAAACATGGAGAGAAAACACTGAGATTTGATAGGTAACACAGATGCTAAGGCTGAATAGGGAGAAAGCTGGGAAAACTGCATTGGTGTGCCAAGCACCAGGATTAGTTCCTGGTCCTAAACACCTTCTAAGGAATGGGTGAGTTAAGTGACAGCAGGGCAACCCACTCTCACCATGGACCTCTGGCATCCTAGCTACAAGAGATCCCATGACTCTTGCAGTCATTTCAATTGTCAGGAGGATCTGCCCAAAGAATAGACAAAGACAGAGCTCTAGCCTGCATGGACCCCAGGGGGTTTTACATGTGGAGCAGCTACAACAAAATGTGGCCATAGGTGCCCATTCC